CATTTGTATCTTTACGTAAAATATTACGATAAAAATCCATGAACTGGTAGTGTGTCGCAATACTTTTTTGACTCACTGTATTGTGTGTGTGAATGTCCAGTTGTCAACTATTTTTTTTTTCTTTGTGGACTCAAAATACATTTCATATGGGAAAACAATTGTTCATATATGTATGTAGAACCAAAAGCGGAAAGCAATGTGTATTCAAATAAGTAAATCGCTTCCGCATTATTTTCCACAGATCTTTTCATAATTTCTTTGATTTTTACTTTCAATAAATCTGAAGATTTTTTTGAAGTTATACTTCTTTTGGGGCGTTAGAGAAATAGGATGAGGGTAAATTTTTACAATGCGCGCGCACACCGTCACGGATGTGACGCAAAACCGTCACGGATGCGAAAATCCTTTGTATAGTAATATACAGAACTGGACACACACAAATCATTCCCGCCTTCGAAATTCTAAGAAAAATATTTCTCTTCACTTCCCTGAAGAAAGGGGCACCCGGGTTTAAACCGGAGACATCTCGATATACAGTCAAATGCTCTACCACTGAGCTATACACCCCGTGTCAGAGAGCCTTTGCTTTGTGTTCCGTAGGAACGAATACGAAAATGCTTTGTCTAGAAATATGCAGAGCGGGACAGATCATTCCCGCCTTCAACTTCCCCATATTATTGGTCCTATTGTCCCGTGCGGGGGTGTTTAAATTTATTTAAATCGTGATTATCTCAGGTTTGGCTGGTCCGATTGACTGAAGGTTAGTATCGTTCTACTCTGCTTGTGACTGTCTTTCGTCCTTGGCCCAGCTTGCCCTGCTAGAGATTTTTAGAAAGATTATAATCTTGTTACGCCAGAGAGAGAAGTATAACTTCTTATTTGCGTACTTTTACACACACTTTTTTTCACGATTCAGCAATGAGTTTTTGTTCATTTTACAGGCATTACGCAATCGTTTTGGTTTGAATTGAATATTTAAAGCTAAGAATGAGTCACATTGAAACAAAAAAAAATTTTTTTTTTTTTTTTAACATAAATCACATAAATAACACCCATGCAGATTCGTGTTAGGGCAAAGAATTAAACGAAAGAAATGGTAAAAATTGCGTGAGGCGTCGAGAGGAGAGACACACAGAGCGGGTTTTTTCCCGCGTGTCGTAGATTGCCCCCCCCCCCTGGTATATAAAATCAGTCTCAACAAGTTAATAACCTTTGTTAATAACCTAGTCTATTTAGGTCAGTTGAAGAATAAAATAGGATGTTAAGATGTGACACATAACAGAAGTCATATCTATTAATTGTTAGGTAAACACAGAAAACTCAAAGTATAGGACAAATAAATCCCATAGCCGCCCATCCTGTATAGTAGTTAGTGAAGCTGACTGCGGTGCCGTAGGGTCTGTGGGTTTGAATCCCGGGTAGGACATGGATATTTGAGTTGTAATCCTTGTTTTCTTTGTGATGTGTGCTTCACGCTTACTTCTGTGCAAGCCCCCGTGTGATATACCTTAAGGTGCACAGGGTTATAAGCGTTCTCAATAAAAAAAAATAATAAATAAAACACATAATCAATTGGAATACGCATTTCACAAAAGTTTGCATACAATACAAAAGCAGAAATAGTATAGATTGCGTATAATGATATATAAACAAAATTTGTACTACTTTGTTGGACCATCTTTCGAAGTAATAATTACTTTCTATCTACTGGGCATCGATAAAACAGGATTTCCTGTGATGCCGGTTGTAATCTTAAGGAAGTTTTGTCACAAATGCAAAATTTTCTTCTCTTTGAAATTCATCCGATAAATGTTCAATGGGACTCGTTTGGGGATTGATACATGTGTGCTTCCTTCACTGTATTCTTTGGTTCGATGTCGACGCATTCTTTACCTAGCCCTCATTTGTCTACAGATTGTGGTACATTATCAACATTCAGGTACCGTAACCTGCCTGTAGTATCTTCAATAAACACATCTCCACATCCACCCGATGGCATTGAATCATTACACAGCCACCGCCGTGCTTCACTGTAGGTATCACGTTTGCGCCTTCCATTTCAACTTTTAATTTCCTCCAAACTTTCCCAAGCCCGTCACTTTCAAAAATGTTATATTTCGGTGTGCTGGGAGTGCTGCTCGGAAAGCCCAGGCCAACAGTTCCTCATCGACTCCTTCATCATTAGCAATCTGAATTACATTTGTGAAAATGGTTGAAAAATTGGAATTTGGGGTATTAACATGACTCATCTCCCTGATCTGTCCAGAAACAACTCTTTGGAATACGAGACGGAGGGAATGACAGCGCGGTAGTTTAATTAAAGCTTCTGGATCTTGGATTGAGCATGCATGGGACTACTTTTTAAGTTTAGATCATTACGAGTGCCGAAATTTCTCTCTTGAATTTTATTTTTTGGCAAGTTATTAAGGTTATTTCCGTTAGAATGTTGATTTTTATTTTGATTGCCCTTTTGGGGAGCTTTTTTATTATTTTTAGTCTTCGGATAACGGGGACATTGGCACCAATTCGCCGCATATTCCTCACCGCAGTTGGCACAAATTAGTGGGTCTTCAAATGCACGATTACAGTTTTTAGCCTCGTGAGCCTCTGCGCATTTAAGGCATTTAATTGGGAGAAGGCAGACTTCTGAAGAATGGAAAAAACCCTGTCATCTCCAGCATTGATCGGGTCTTTTGTTCCGACTATTGTCAT